AGCTTCATGACAAAGGGTACATGAGAGGCAAATTTTTAAGCACTTGTCTGTCTGTAAATGTCTTCAATCTAGCTTGCGTGCTAGTGTGACTGGATACAGAATTCTAAGTAGGAAATCATTTTCTCTCAGAAAGCATTATCCCAGTCAAGTGCAGTGGTTCATGCCTGTAATACCAACACTTTGGGAGGCTGAGGTGAGAGGGCCGCTTGAGGCCAAGAATTTGAGACGAATCTGGGCCACATAGCAAGAACTCATCAATGCAAAAAGTAAGAAAAATAGCTGGGTATGGTGGTGCATTCCTGTCGTCCCAGTTACTCGGGAAGCTGAGGAGGAAGGATTGTCTCAGTAGAGGAGGTCAAGGCTGCAGTGAGCTGTGATCATGCCACTGCAGTCCAGCCTAGGTGACAGAGTGAGACTTCCAACTCAAAAAAGAAAAAAAAAGGCCGGGTTGGGTGGCTCAGCCTGTAATCCCAGCACTTTGGGAGGTGGAGGTGAGTGAACCTCTGGGTTAGACACCCACCTGGGCAACTTGGTGAGACCTTGTCTCTACAATAAATAAAAAATTAGCCAGACGTGGTAGTGCATATCTGTTGTTCTGGCTACTTGGAAGGCTGAGGCAGAAGGATCACAGAGCCCAGCAGGTTGAGGCTGTGGTGGCCGGGAGTATGCCACAGGACTCCAGTCTGGGCAACAGAGTGAGACTCCAACTAAAAAAAAAAAAACAAAATTTCTTCTGTGTTTACTACTTCACTATCCTCAATGACATAAATATACTGAAGCTTATTCCACATTTTATTGTACAGAATTTTTCTGATTATATGAAATTAGAACTTAGACTTAAATCCTAAGTCATTGGATCTTCTTCTACCTTGGTGAAGGCAGAAAAGAAGTGAAGAAAAAAAATGTTAAGATTCCCCCTTACCAATATGCTAGTGTTACAAAAGGTGCTTTGAGAACTCTCTTGACGCTCTCTTGCCTAGTTAGCCCTAGGATTACAATGATAAATCAGAGCAATCCACTATAATCTGTCATTTTTTAAAGTTAAAAATAAGCCAGGCTCGGTGGCTCAGCCTGTAATCCCGTGCCTTTGGGAGGCTGAGGTGAGTGAATTGCCTGAGCCCGTGGGTTCGAGACACACCTAGGCAACTTGGCGAGACCTCATCTCTACAATAAATCAAAAATCAGCTGGCGTGGTAGCGCATGCCTGTAATTCCAACTACTCGGAAGGCTGAGGCGGAAGGATCGCCGGAGCGCAGCAGGTCGAGGCTGTGGTGGCCGGGAGCAGCCACTGCACTCCAGTCTGGGTGACAGAGTAAGACTCCAACTCAAAAAAAAAAAAAAAATTAAAAATAGATATAGATGGCCGGGCTCCGTGGCTCAGTGTGTAATTCCAGCACTTTGGGAGGGAGGCCAAGGCGAGTGGATTGCCTGAGCCCGTGGGTTCCAGACCAGCCCGAGTAACTTGGAGAGACCTCATCTCTACAAGAAAAGAAAATAAAATAAAATTAGCAGGGTATAGTAGCGCATGCCTGTAGTTCTGGCTACTTGGAAGGGTGAGGCGGAAGGATCGCCAGAGCCAGCAGGTTGATGCTGGGGTGGCAGTGAGTGTGCCATTGCACTCCAACCTGGCAACAGAATGAAATTCCAACTCAAAAAAAAAAAATAGACACAGAGAGCCGGACACCGTGGCTTACACCTATAATCTCAGCACTTTGAGAGGCCAAGGCGAGAGGATAATATGGCAAGACCTCATCTCTACAATAAAATTTAAAAATTAGCCGGTCATAGTGGCATATGCCTGTGGTTCCAGCTACTTGAAAGGCTGAGGCACAAGGATCGCCTGAGCCCAGCAGGTCAAGGCTATGATGGCCATGAACGTGCCACTGTACTCCAGATTGGATGACATAGTGAAACTCCGAGTAAAAAATAAATAAATTCACGACCCGCCCGGGCAGTGAGACCTCATCTCTACAATAAATCAAAAAATCAGCTGGACATGGTAGCGCGTGCCTGTAATTCCGGCTACTCAGAAGGCTGAGACGGAAGGATCGCCAGAGCCCAGCAGGTCGAGGCTGCGGTGGCTGGCAACGGCCACTGCACTCCAGTCTGGGCAACAGAGTGAGACTCCAACTCAAAATAAATATTGCCCAGTTATTCTGGCACATACCTGCACCCACTCACCCTTATGATATTATATTTTGAGCCGGGCACAGTGGCTCATGCCTATAATTCCAGCACTTTGGAAGGTAGAGCTGAGAGGATTGCCTGAGCCCACAGGTTCAAGACCAGCCTGGGCAACTTGGTGAAACCTCATCTCTACAATAAATCAAAAAGTTAGCCAGGCGTGGAACTGGCTTCTTGGAAGGCTGAGATGGAAGGATTGCCTGAGCCCAGCAGGTCGAGGCTGCAGTGGCCATGAGCGTGCCACTGCACTCCAGCCTGGGACACAGAGTAAGACTCCAACTCAAACAACAACAGCAACAACAAAATAATAAACTATACAGTTAGAGTTGTCTATCAGAAAGAACAGGGGGGAAAAAGAATTTTAAGAAAAGGTGACAAAGAAATGGAAAAATAATTCACTCCACATAAAGTGAAGAGAACTGAATTACAGTAGATATAAGGGAAGGAACAGATGCAAGTCTTTCAAGGTTTAGAATCAAGGCTTAGACCGCGGGATCGTGACCTGCCTAGGCAACTTGGCGAGACCTCATCTCTACAATAAATCAAAAATTAGTTGGTCATGGTAGCACATGCCTGTAATTCTGGCTACACGGAAGGCTGAGGCATAAGGATCGCCAGAGTCCAGCAGGTCGAGGATGCAGAGCAGCCACTGCACTCCAGTCTGGACGACAGAGTGAGACTCCAACTCAAAAAAAAAAAAAAAAAAAGAATCAAGGCTTAGCTTCTTATTAAAAGCACAGAACAAAAAGAATAAATAAAGATGACTTTGGAATTTTTCAGGATGGATAACTGGAAAGACAGCTATCCTAATTACTGAGACCAGGAAAATATTCTGTCATATCCTCATAGCATTAGCTATTGTTAGTCTGTTTCTTTCACATATAGTTTGCTTCTAAAAGAGGCTGGGAAACAACAGGTCTCTATATTCCTTGTATTCATCTTGATATTACCTAACAGGCATGGACTAAGTAGTTTGAAGTAAATGTTTGGCAAAATTGAAGGTATATTCTCCATTTTAACAAAATGGCAATCATATTGTTGCAAATAAATTCTTCCTTTTTTTTTTTTTTTTTTTTACCACTCAGACCATGCCCTCTCTCTCTTGCTCCCCTGAATGATCATCAATGGCAAGTGGCAGTTGCAGTGAAGCAACACCAAGAGCTGGCTTCATGCTCAGAAGAGAATACTGCATCTCCTCCTCCTCGTGGTTTCCAGGCTTTACATAATCAGAAAAACTTCTCTAGTAGTGAACTATAGAAATGATCCCTGAAAATATAGTCTTTTTGCAAATAAATTCTTAAGGAGAATTGAATGATTTTTTTTTTCTTGAGTTGGAGTCTCACTCTGTCACCCAGGCTGGAGAACAGTGGCACGCTCCCAGCCACCATAGCCTCAACCTGCTGGGTCCCAGCGATCCTTCCACCTCAGCCTTCCAAGTAGCCAGAACTACAGGTGTACACTATCACACCCGGCTAAGTTTTTCCATTTATTGTAGAGTCAAGATCTTGCCACGTTGCCCAGGCTGGTCTGGAGCCCACAGGACTCAAGCAATCTACTTGCCTCGGCCTTCCGAAGTGCTGGGATTACAGGTTAAACAATTTTTAATAAAAATCAGAATGTGAGGGCCGGGCTCAGTGGCTCAGCCTGTAATCCTACGCCTTTGGGAGGCTGAGGTGAGTGGA